TTTTATCTACGTTCAAAAAAAATTTACCCCATCAAACCTTTCAAAGCCTATATCATGCCCTTTAAATAATTTTACGCGTGGTCATTTACCTCAAGGTCCTTATAACTTCATTCATCATACGTGAAAGCAATTATTATAATAAAAAAATAAATTTAATAAAAATTTAATCAAATAAAAAATCAGTATTCTGACGATGCAGACCTGAAAAGGCTGCGAAACGTCAATAAATAACTAAAGTTTCGTGCATTAACCCGTTAAAACTAGTTTTATTTATTATAATTAAGCTTAGATGATTATACAACTTTATAGAACCCATTAGCACTCATGATTCGCATAGATCAAAATAATAACGATAGCAAAATTTTCAAAACAGTCAAGTAATTGAGCCAATGTTTTCTATGTGCATTTTATACCAGAATCATTTGGCAACAGTAACGTTATATTTAATGCGTTTGAAGAATCTGATGTATCATTTGAAACATTCAATAATACTCCTAATGAATCGTAAAACTGTAACGATCAAAGAGTTTCAAGTTGATGCATAATTACTCTGTACAACACTTATGCAAATTTACGATCAATTTAATCGAATGATAATAGCCTATTTGCTGTTAAGGTACTGAAGATTTTGTAAACATCATACAATAACATCAACGCAACTAAATAACGATCCACTATAGGCTCACGAAATGTTTGGATCGTCTCGAGAGCGCATTGAATGGAGTTCCAAAATAGATTCCGCGGTTGTAACCACATTTTAGTACGTGAACGTGATTTGTCCGCCATCGTAGAATTACGACACGCTGAAATCCAACTAGACTGCGGCGAAAATAATCAGATGTATTTTAAAAAAATATGAAAATAAAAAGTTTGTTTTTAAAGATTGTTCTCGAATCAACTGTATTCATAAGATTCAAAAATTTTATTGAAAATCTAATTTATAACCATCGACGTCAAGTAAAAAACCAACATAAGATATCGAAGAAAAGTGATCAAATGGATAGATCTACATATAGATAAATAAATACATACTTGAACGTCAACAAACAGAATTTTTAAATCTGTTAACGTTAGCATACGAACTATGAAAAATAATACACGAGCCTAATACTTCATACCCGCAAAGTTTTTATTAGATGCAATCGATCTGAATAAAACTCAATCGAAGACTTCAGCAACCCAAATGTCAGTGCACAAGAACCTACCAATCAGCTCCGCGTTCCACTGTTTACAAAACTACAACTTTATCTTCCCGTTCTCTATCACTCTTTCGCATCTGAGTTAAGGTTGGGAATCCTCTGATCTGTTACGGGGAAGTTTTGCCGGGATCACAGGCGACAGATTTATCGGTGCATCGATTTGGAATCTTAATTTAGGTACCGCAAGGGTTGTTGTTGAGTGATAGGTGACAAAGAAAGCTTGTGGGAGCAGAAGCCGGATAGGCAGTCTAAATGCGTCTCGTCTCTGGCAGAGTACTGGGGCAAGGACGCCTAGCGCCTATGCACTCGGCAGATTGATTGACCGATTAATCTTTTCTAAAGACCGCCCGTTGAATACTCGTGGACCTTTCAGCGCTTAGAAGTCCGAAAACATGCTTCTTCAACCATCATTACTAATCAAAAATTCGATAGATTTTTCAAACACTCAATGTTAATAGACATTAAGAACACACCGACATCCATCACGTTAAATTGTTTTCAAATCGTCAAAACGAACATTACGTGCAATATTTTGTTTATTTACGGTTGGTTTATTAATTTAATTATTTGGTTTTACAACGTCTTTAATTTCGGTGTTTTGGTAAACTTTGTTGTCACTGCATGAATTGGGTGCGCACGCGTCGGTCGTGACTCGTGAGTGGGCGAAAGGTGCACGTGTTGTTAGGGCATTATTCACAGGGGGTGTTTGGGCGAGTTATTGGACCGTATTTACACGTATACGTTTACTCTGCGACGCGCGCGAGCAGGCCGAGCGTCCGCGCCCGCCGTAAGTACCACCGTGACTGAAACTAATTCTATTCGCGATAGATGCGATCAACCCGATGCAGTCTTCGAGATTACACACAGATAAGTTGCTATTAGAACAATCGGTTAATCACTTTTGATACGTTAAACTTAATGTAGCTTTCAACAACGGCTATGTAAACTTTCTTGACCAATCCACATCAATACTTTTACTATATTTAATTATTACTATTTTACCTTTACTTTATTCGAAAATATAAATAATATGGCAAATGCCTCCTGTGACTGACTACAATTAAAAAAACGGATTACATTAATTTAAATATAATTAATTTTACCATAGGAACCTTCTGTTAAAAACTAAATTAATATAATAAATATGTACATAAAAGCATAAGTACAAACTGCTATTTTGAAAATCATACTTATGTTTTTATTATTTGTCTTACTCATAAATTGTCAAAAAGCACATACCTACTGATGTTCGTCTACTGCGCCATGCGTTAGATATATTTTGATCCGGGCGTTAAAATCGGACGGACTTATGTTTTGCTAGATTTATAGGGTTGCGGTAATTGTACGTGAACGAGACCTCGTTCTTGAGGGTTGGCTGCCATGCCACAATAAATCATCGTTATTAAATAAAACTAGTTTTTACGGGTTAATGCACGAAACGGCTACGTCGTCAGAATCAAACTTTTATATTCATTGTTATATCACACGCGACTTGAGTACACTTGACTTACCAATAAAATAGAAACTGTTTTCAATCCGAATTTCAAAATCAACGATATTATGCATTTGTAAAGGCGATATATCGAACGGGCTGATGTTTTGAGAATAATATAGGGTTGCGGTGAATCTACGTGAACAAGACATAGTTTTTGGTAGTGTTGCCCAAAATCGGTCTTGGTCTTGTTCTTGCATTTTCGCAAGACCAAGCCAAGACCGCCTAATTTTAGCAAGACCAAGACCAAGACTGCCCGTGCAAGATTTGCGAAAGAACAAGACTAAGCCTGCGAGACTCAAGCGTCTTGCAGTTAGGACTGATTGTCGTTTCAGGGAGTATAGTCAAAAGAGTGCATCCATAGTTTTGACCATCTGCATTTTGATAGTGCGCGGCGCCTTCTACCCGGCATCAACAAACAAAGGTCCGATACTGACCTGTCAAAAAATTTGCACCTATTCGGAAGTACACAAGGTCAAGATACACGCGCCGGCGACTTCTATTGTTATCGCATACAATTTAATCTTATTTATTTATATATATAAAACTCAAAGGTGACTGACTGACTGACATAGTGATCTATCAACGCACAGCCCAAACCACTGGACGGATCGGGCTGAAATTTGGCATGCAGGTAGATGTTATGATGTAGGCATCCGATAAGAAAGGATTTTGATCAATTCTACCCCCAAGGGGATTAAATGGGGAATGAAAGTTTGTATGAAATATTGTCAATTTTAAACCGATCGGGCTGAGACTTTGCATGCAGGTATAAAAAGAATCATAGATGAATGTCATTGTGTATAATAGAAGCCTGAGAACAAAAACTGTAGTCTACACTTCAGCTCTACACCGAAGCAAAGCGAGAGCGGGCCGCTAGTTATAATATAAAGCTCAAAATGTACCTACTCTGTTACGTCGTTCTAAGATATAATACGCAACGCGAGTACACTTGACTTACCTACTAATTAGAATCTGTTTCAAATCGGAATTTAAGAATCAATGATCTAATTCATTTGTAAGGGCCATAAATTGGACGTGCTAATGTTTTGCTAGATTTAAGGGTTGCAGTAGCTCTGTTTGCACGAGACCTCGTGCTTGGGTGTTGTCTGGTAGCCCAAGTCAATAAATCGACCTTCTCTTTCGTGACTGCACTGATCTGAGTTAGCCAAAGTCGACAGTGTCTAAAAAGGGCTAGCATCATACTATTGGCTGTAGTGTTGTTACCATAGTAGGCTAAGAACTCACGGCGCGATTTTATTCCGGAACCGCAACTCGCATGAATATGAAATTGTAGGTATAATTAAAAAGCAAAACTAACGGCGCTTACGGCATGGATTAATTACCAGAAGACGCAACGAACTTACCGTTTTGCATTTTGAAAATTCGCTTCGCGAGTTCTTAGCCTAAGATGTCACTACCGCCAATAGTAGATAGATAGAAGGCGGGGCTATGATGTTTTAAAGTTAAAGATACGTCATACACGCTTCTAATTTGTCAATACGCAAGTCGAGCAAATACCCGACTTGCGTATTGCCAAACCCGACATCGTAAGTCGGGTAATTGCTCGACATGCATTCAGTCAGGCACGCTCTCTCGCCGCGGCAACACTTCGCCACAACTTGTAAAAAGTTTTCGTTTTTCCAGACAAAAAACCATATGTGTGTTTTAGATAGCGCACAAAATACACGGGAACTATTAGAGACAAGAAAAACGTGCAATTTCATTCGTAAAAGAAATAAATGTAAAAATATTTAGTGATTACTTATTTTGACAGTTGTGGACACCGTTGACACGTGGAGGCTTAAGAGTAAAATGTGATTTGCTTTATCAATGAGAGTGAAAGAGACTACTTCAGCACGCAAGTTGGGGCGGGAACTTCTTGTGCCATTTTAAAATTGCAATAATGTTGGCGTATTACCTGTCTATATATTATACGTCATTCAGGCTTGGTAACAATTATGCATTTGCCACCCTTTACTAATAAAAAAAAATAAAGGAACTTCTGTACTAAAATAAAGTTGACCGTTTACACTCCAACGACGAATATTTTGCTCATTAGTAAGAAATAAGAGCAAATTTTATAACCATGTACTTAGGTATAAATTAACTGCTGACAGTTGTCCTTGCTGGCGGTCGCTTCATAACTCGCACCAATTTATATTCAGATTGTAGCCAAATTACTAAGTATAAATAAATTATGTGTACAAGTCGGTGCAAAGCACAATATTTGCAAATATTGAAGGAATTCCATAATTAACATTTACAATAAATAAAAAGATCGCCCTTACGTGATTTAGGGTGTGGAATTATGTCAAATTAATGTTTCTTGCAATCTTGTGGATCTGTAACAAATGAAAATGGGTTACAACTAAAGAAATGGAACTCAAAAACGATACCAAAGTTCAATATAGCCTATAGACGCTTGCGATACAAACAATATCACTCGTTTCGTTCCCTACCCTGACCCCACAAAGCACAGATGCCACCCGCCTGAAATATCTCTAGAGGCACTCGCCGATTTTTGGCTTGAGGTCCCCTTAGGATCTCGCTGTGCCGAAACCCGGTAACGCTGTAAAGGCCACTTGCGACCAAAAGCATACCCCACGCTTCTGTCATTCCCAGAATTTCCAAATTCATGGCTAAAAATTTACATGGTAACTCCGAACTCATACAACTAAACTTCAATACTAACGCGACACGCACACAGAAAAAACAAAATGATTTCACAAATCAAATGTCTGCATATGAATTCAGCTATCGATTCATTGGGTAACATAATATTAAACGGAAATCCCAACCAATCCCATGATCGGCGTGTTGATCGCATTTTTTCGCCCCGCGAACTTGATCGCAGTTTGCGTGGAACCACTTTTTAGCACGATTCGTATTTCATAACCATTATAATTCGTTGAGAAGCTACGTACATATTGAAAATGAAATATTCACCGGTTCCGCCATAGTGAGCAGCAGGCATCGCCTCACCACATCCAACCCATCGAGCTTGACGGCCAGAACGCCGCTCACAGCCTCATCGACACGCACCGACCGCACCGGCAACACCTCGGTGTAGCTGTTGTTGCCACCGCTGCATGCCAGCAAATCACCCAGGTACAAGTACGCGTGGCTAGGGGAAAAGTACACCCACCTATTGATTTTGCATTTTACACGACCATCAATCGTATGCTCAAATCCCACGCATAAGTTTTTGAAGTAAAACTTCTTTAGGCTCGCTTGACTTGGGAGTAAACTGGCGAATGTGTTACGATTTCGCGTTACGATTAGTGTCATCGGTGACTCATTGGTAAACAATGAACAGCGCGGATTGGTGGGTGATAATGGAGTCCATGCGGCTTGGAGGGTGATAACGGACCCAGCGCGGATTGGTGGTTTTTTTTTCTATCAACAAATGTTCAGGTTAAGTTTATTATTTTCAGATCATTGGAGCTAAAGAAGTTTCACTTCAGTCGTATGGTCATAAGCACACTCGCTTTTGTTTATGTTAAAATGGTAACAATGGCAAATAAGCATAATGGTCCGCCTGATGGTAAGCGGCCACAATAGCCTATACACGATTGCGATACCAAAGCTATTACTCGCGCAGTTGCCTGCCCTGACACAAACCCCTATTCCGTGGAGCCCAGTAACCTTGGTCCCCGACAGAAACAAAACACAGAACAACCAAATGAATGGTCTGAAGTAATGTGTTCTGTCAGTTCTAAAATGCTAGAGCTTAACGATTAAAGAAAATCGACTTTACACTAGTGACAGTGACAGAATATATGCGTCACATCAGTCCTAGTATTTTGCACCTGGATATCAGTTGCGGTAGAATAGTTAGATATTATCGCGTCTGGACTATACCGTCACTTAACATCAGGTGGAGTTGAGTAATTTGTCACGTGCTTCGGAAGGCACGTTGGTCCTGGCTGCATCTGCAGTCATTAGCACCCACCCATCCGCACTAGGCACGCGGGTTGGGCCATGACCCAGTCTCCTTATTATCCATCCATAGGGAAGGCCTGTGCCTCAGCAATGGGGACATTGGTAGGCTGGTGACAATGTGATGATGAACTTACCCGATATCCCGACAGGTTTCGATGCCTAAGGGGTCTTCTATCGGTTCACTGATGACTGTGAATATGATACAGTCCTTGGTGTCGCGTGAAGACTTGTCGGAAGAACGACACGTCGCCATGTGACCGATGACGGGCAAGTCACAGTCGTTCAGCTGGAACGCTGTATGAGTCAATAATTATAATACTGTACGAGTGTTCATTATTATAACACACTAGCTGACCCGGCGAACTTTGTGCCGCCTAGCAGGATAAATGTGGTTATGTTGAAATTTTGAAGCTTGATTAAATTTTTGATTATACAACCGCAATAAAACAAATACAAAAAAACCCAATAGCATACCACCACAATATGAATCTACTTTTAAGCTTTTCAATGTTTTTAATATTAAAATGTTTGTACTAGGTGCCATATTATAAGTTAACGTAAGTCTGCTTCTTTACGCATCCAATAACAGCCTTTAAATAAGGCAGCACTAAGAATATTTTTTTTAATTCTCAATTTGTACTATAATAATCATAATCATTTATTCAGTTTAGGCTGTTACAAGCACTCATGAATGTTTAGAAGCTACGCCATCGGTTTGTAAATCTACGGCGGGAGACCTTGTACTGAGAAGAACCGGCAAGAAACTCAGCAAGGGCTGCTTTTTTCTCCCTGTTTTATTATTTATAGAGTCGTCAATACTGTACTGTTATTGGTGTTTATCTTGTTGGCTGTTCTTTATAGTAACCTGTCCAGTACCTTCTGTTCAAAAGACTGATTGGACGTGACCAATAGTAATGGCCGTTTGTTGTTTTTTTCCTACCTATATACGTGGGAGACTCAGAAAGTTTTGAGAAACTATAAACTAACTTCTATGAAAAAAATATTTTTATTAAATCTTTTGCAGAACTCTCCACCAGTCTCTATACAAAGTTTCATGCGTCTGAACCAATTAACATAACATTTATTCCAGTCCTTATCCACGGCCTCCTAAAGCGCTGCTAGCGCTTCTTCCGGCGATGAAAAGGCTTTGAGCTGATTTTTTATTTTAAGAAATAAAAAGAAGTCACACTGAACCAAGTCGGGACTGCAGGAAGGAGGGTGCCCCAAGACTCTGACTGGTGTGGAGTCCTAGAAGTAATTCATTTTGATCGCAGTGCGCGGGTGCGTTGTCGTGGCGAAGAAGGACCCCGCGGAGCCCGGTGTTAGGTCGCTTGTTGCTCATTGCAGAAAATACTTCTGGCAGGCATTTTGTGCTATACTATGCGGCGTTGATGCTGCTTTGGTCTCGAAGTGGAATTGAAATTATTATTATTTAAATTAGCCATACTAGCGACTGACGCTTGTTTCTGGTTCGTATTGATAAATCCAGGATTCGTCACCTGTCACAATATCGTAAACGCGCCGTGATGAGCCTGCATCAAATTTTTGTATCATATCACTGCACCAATCCACACGAGCCTGCTTCTGAGCTTCGGTGAGGTTGTGCGGCACCCAGCGGGAAACTATCCTCCTTATGCAAAGGTGCTCGTGCAAAATGTTGTAAACACTTCCTGAACCAATCTGGAGTATGCTGAATCTCTTCGTACGTAATTCGTCTGTTATCTTGAATTAAAGTTTTTTACTGCCAGTACACTTTCTTCGGTGACAACCGTCGTAGGACGACCACTCCTTTGTTCATCCCCCAAAGTAAGACGACCGCGTTTGAACTCGCTACACCAGCGGTAGATCGTTGCTTTTGAAGGTCCTTCATCCATAAAAGCAGTTCGAAATCGATCAAATGACTCATCAGGTTTTAAGCCACATTTAAAATCGTAAAAAATTATAGCTGGAAAATGTTCTCGATGCAGATCCATTTTTTAATGAGACAAGAAAAATTTTTCAAAAGGTTTTCAAAAAAAACAAGGTTCTCTAAAAATGCAGAAAGGAATTTGAAAATCGAACAGTGGTATTTTTACTTTTAAATAATCGAAGCTTTCAAAATAATTACAAGTGGCCAGTGTCTTATACATAAAATCATTTATTCGCAAAACTTTCTGAGTGGCCTGGTATAGTGGGCTCAGGTATGGTGAAATCATTTCTATCCCCCTAGGGCTCCCATACCGTTAAAAAAATAATTGAATAAATAATAATAGTGCAAAGACTCACTTTTGCTGAAGTTGAAGCTGCATTTATCCGCGTAGCCTTTCGGCTTGGGAAGACTTTGCGGCGTCTCCAGTTCGGAACCGCCCATTCCCAAGAACTCGTACGCGACGTACAACCGTTGGACGTTGGGGTTGATCATGGTGTCACACTCTTCGTTGAGAGCCAACCACAATACGGTCACTTGTATGCTCTCTTTGTGAGTAGATTCGTCGCTGAGACGCATTTGCTAATAAGTGAAGTTCAGAAAAAAATATTGGCAATTGTGAATGCGATACAATTAGATTAAAACACCCATGTGATGGCCATGTGGAATAAATATAATAAATAAATATTTCCAACACTCACACCAATTAGCCTAGCCCCAAAGTAAGCAATGTAAGGCTTGTGTTATGGGGATACTAGGGTGACGGATAGAATACATATACTATATAAGTACATTTATATAGAAAATACATATTAAACATTCATGACTGGTGTACAAATGCTTGTATTCATCACACAAACATCTGCCCCACCGGGACTCGAACCCTATATTGTCTGAATGAATACCTATATTGTCACCAGCAGTGTTTCCGGAACAATACGACACAAAAACCTTCGTAAAAAAGAGCGTAATCCTTCCTTAAAGGCCGGTATCGCATTTGCGATACTCTTGGAGCTGGTGTTGCAGATGGCTATGGGCAATGATGATCACTTACCATCACTTAGGCCGATAATAAGGTCCACTTCCAGCAAATTTGCTAAATTGCGATTCAAGCAAAACTAGATCTATCTCATAGAAAATGTCAATGTCGATTTGACATAATGGTATGGGCTAAATCTAGTTTTAATTAAATTGAGATTTAGTCAAATTGCTGCAAGTGGACCTTATTATCGTATGTACCCACAGTATAAAATAACTCATTCACAGTTACACACATATTCAAATCATAATGCAAATAAAATAATATTTGAAACATTAACTCCATTAAAAATTGCAACGATATTAAAACTGAATTGCGGATTGAGCGCCACAACTCCGTTGATGATTTCTTAGTCTAGTTGATTATTTCTTGGTTCTAATCTAAGAATATGTAAGACTTAAGATTTTGTGAAGTTTAATTCTGGCATAATTCTATATACATAAAACTTTATTTGACAAAGGTCTGTCTCTTTTATTTTCTTTAGAGCATGATAACGATGAATATGCTACTGTAATAAAAAAAATAGGTTTTCGAGAATTATGCCGGAATTGGGCAAATTGTTGTTCAAAAAGTAATGACAATATATTTTTATTTACCTGCTGTTTATTGTTTTCGTTAATGTCCATAGCAATGGTTACTGACTTCTTTGAAGAGTTCAACATGCGGTAACCTTAAACGGTTAAGTAGGTATTTAGTGAGTTTACATTAAAAATAAATCTCAGGAAGTAATGGAGGTCTTTTTTCCGTTACCTATATTCCTACGTAAATGGCTGGCTAAATATATATAAATCGTACTAATGTCTTAATCCAGTTAATAAACTACACCTATATCAAATTCTATCTAAATCCGGTCAGCTGTTTTTTCGTGATTGAGTAGCAAAATTACAAATAAACAAACTTTCACATATCGCGCGTCACAAACAATAGGGTATTTAGTCGGCAAAACTATTTATTTTTTTATTTGCGTTTCGAAAACTACATATTTTTCTCTATAAACTAGTAAGATAATTGTATTTTAATTCGAAATAGTTTTTGAATTATAGCAACACATGTCGTCAATTTCTAGGCAAAATTTTTAATTGTGAGTATTCTAAACAGTATTAAGTTAAGTTAATACTCTATTGCCCGTTCGGATTAATACAAGTTTGAAGTTCTATTTAAAATAATACCCTCTGGCCTGTTCAATTTTTTTTAATATGTTATTATCGACGAAATTATATTAAAATGATACTAGTTTTAATTTTATCATGAGCCATTTGAACTGCTTATAGGGTACCAGTGGCCCGCCCTCGCTTCGCTTCGGTGTAAAGCTGCAGTGTTGACTACAGTTTTTGTTCTCAGGCTTGTATTATACAAAATGACATTCATCTATGATTCTTTTTATACCTGCATGCAAAGTCTCAGCCCGATCGGTTTAAAATTGACAAAGATTCATACAAACTTTCATTCCTTATTTTATCCCCTTGGGGGTAGAATTGATCAAAATCCTTTCTTAGCGGATGCCTACGTCTTAACATCTACCTGCATGCCAAATTTCAGCCCGATCCGTCCAGTGGTTTGAGCTGTGCGTTGATAGATCACTATGTCATTCAGTCACCTTTGAGTTTTATATATATACTAGCGGACCCGACAGACGTTGTCCTGTCTACACGGCTTTGTGAATCTAAACCATTCTCAGATCCCCTTGAACACACACAAAAAATTTCATCAAAATCGGTCCAGTCGTTTAAGAGAAGTTCAGTGACATACACACTCACAGAAGAATTATATATATAAAGATATTGATAGATTCTCTTTACCCAGTCACATAAAAGTACTTTTTAAATAAAAACTACTATTGATACACTAATTAAACTTACTCAACACAAAGAAGGATAATGTACGTTAAAATCAAGGTATTTTAAACATTTGAACAAGTAGTTCCGCTTCTATGATTTTTTTAAAATTTTAAAACGCGATATCTCAGTGCACTGTTTTTGAAGATAATACCCTTATGTTTGTGATATAATATTAGTAGGATAGTAATATTTCCGATCTGTCTTACTTCCTGCGAAAGTCTTGGTAAGTTCCGGTGGTTCTTCGACATCATTGGACGGTCGTGGCGAGCGTGTGGAAAACTGCAATGTGTTTGTCGCAAGAGTATCTGTAATTATTAAAGTGACACTTTCATAACACCACCTCAATTTTGTTTTATCAACTGTCTTTGATAAATCTTTACCTCTTTTGCTATGCTTTTGAAGCAACCAAAGCAGAGTAACGTTAAACCACAACGGAATACTATTGTGAAGAAGGTATAAGATGTTAGCTTAAAAATATGTTTTAGTAACTTAGTTCCTACATCTCCCCTACGTAGTCCTACATTCAAATTAATGTAAATTTTGTAATTTTATACCTATGCTTTTTTATTTGTCATACCGCTTAATTAGCTCAAGTATGTAAATGATATGAACAAATAATGAGGAGCTTTATTATAATTAGCAGGACTTCTACCCTCTTATTAATAAACTAGGAATACGCTTAGACTAGTTATACCATGTTTTGATTATATCACTTAAGTGACATTTGTTATTCAATGAACAGAAACAAACAGTAATTTATCCAAATTTATTCTTCGTTTATTTAAAAGGGGGTTTGGCTTTAAGCTAGGTCTCAGCATTCGAAATTAGTAGTGATTACTAGGTGGCGCTGTACGTAAACTGAATTGCGCTATGGTTTTACTTTTAAATATACACATATACCTAAATGCGTATAGCGCCATCTAGTAATCACGCTTGGAACTAATGTTACAATTAATGCAATAGTTTATGGTCTTTACATAAATTATTATTTGAACATTGAACTGATAGTTATGTCTATCTAAATTAAAGGATAAATTGTTTAAATACAGTGTATTGAGTGCAGTCAGCCACACATCATGTGATACCAAATTACAAATTCTCTCAATCCATTACGAATCCTTAATCTATTGTAATAAAGCTTAAAATTATTTGGAGAAGTTCGTCACAGTAGAGTAACTTGGCCTATAGCTATCTGAACAAAACGTCCGCTTAAAAAGCGACATTTGATGAAACATTTGATATTAGCATTTAAGGCTATTTATTAAAATTTCTATTTGTAACTTTGACGGTGGTCTTTCCTCAAATGCTCCTATATACAACCTATATACAATACAAGCGTCTATAGGCTATGGCCATATGATTGTTGGCTACCCTTTAAACATAAAAAAATCGGATACAAAATAACAAACGCTTTATTTTGTAATTAATGAACTGGAAGCATTGGTGCTAGCGGTACTAATGTGCTGCTCATTTCAATGCTCTGCTACAGTACCAAGCGCAACACGTCGAGATTCAGTCGTATTCCGTTAGGTGGCGGTGTAGTCTGTTGAAACTCGCTATTGAAGCTGGATTCGCAAGGCTTAAAGGCCTCAGCCGCGTTTGTCAAAGCATACTTACCTGGCATAGGGGACACCGTGATCAGGAAGGCGGTTCCCCCAGGGCGAGGCTCCTCCATTGCACTGCGGTGGGGTTGACCCCTGCGATTATCCCTAATGTGGATAACTCGGATGCGTAATTTTTGGTAGTGGGGACTGCGTACGCGCTGTCCCCCCCCTTAAGTAAGAAAATAACAATAAAATCCTGTTACAACTGCTGTAAGTAAATCAGCAAAGGCTGTAAAGCTGTACCACTGCGTACTACGGTAAATATTATTTCTTAATATTTATAATAATAAATCAAACGTAAAGTGCGACAGTTCAGGGAGGGCGCCACTGTACCTAAAATTACCGAAATAACATAAAGATCCTTATCGTACTGTTCAGTTTAAGATCACGCCATTACGTGTTTTTCATTAAAAGACTAGAGTGGTCCCACCATTTTGATATTAATATAGCGGGACCAATTTCTTTGCAGAATATTTTGAAAAACCTGGCGGGTCGCGCTATCTTGACGATCATGCTATTTTTCTTTGTATTTGCTTATTCAGTTCAGCAAAGACAGACAGACAAGAAAAAAATAAATATAGACAGTTTGCTCCATAGCACACGGCTACCAATTCATCAGTGAATCGCATTATAATTCTTTAGATTATAAACAAAAGTTTTAATGTCAGATTATAGGAGATAACAATATAATATACTTACGAAAATATTTTAATGTTTATTAAATTCTTTGTTTCTACATTCATGTTGGGTTACAGAGTACGCCTTTCGGGTTGTCTCAACATCAACGATAATATGTTTTTGCACTTCATTAAAAAAGTGTAGAAACAACGTTTCTTAAAACTATGACTAAACACAACCGCTAATAAATGGTTGATTGGATAGGGCGTACAACCTACGCCCACTGCTAAGCATTGGTTTTCCCCAATGAACTTTACAACGATCGGATAATTTTTCTAAAGCAATTCGCATCCAGCGGCTGCCTGCAACCTTCGGTTTTGTTGTCCTCGATTGACCGTAAAACAATGCTGCATCATCTGAGCTACTCGATAACCGATGAACGTTATTATTATGTTATTCAAATGTAACTTTTGTTAGTCACCGTTAAGATCGACACAGCTGAAGTTAACAATGGGCCAACTCCGATAAAACGTAAGAAAATAATAATAATAAAAAAAAACACTGAAGGATATTCAGTGTTTGTTTTTCTTTTTGTTATGTTTTTGTCCAATCTTAATTTTATTTTATTTTTTATGTTAATGAATTATATGATTTTTATGCAATTTTTAAAATTAAACTAAATCAAATGTAATAATTACTGACATATAATAACGCCGTTAATATCTAATGTATACGTAAAACGAGTTTCTGTAATTGGCCTTAAGATTATATCTATATTTTATTGTATTAAATTTCACAAAAACCGCTGTAGAAACTGTGTTAAAGATAAATAAATAAATAAAACATTTATGATCCAGTCCCATACACTAGATGGCGCGGCGTCGTCTGCAACACCGCGCTATAGGATCGTTTATCGCAGAGATTAAGTAACCCAGCCGCGCTAGTCAAAACATACTTACCTGGCATAGGGGACACCGTGATCAGAAAGGCGGTTCCCCCAGGGCGAGGCTCTTCCATTGCACTGCGGTGGGGTTGACCCCTGCGATTATCCCTAATGTGGATAACTCGGATGCGTAATTTTTGGTAGTGGGGACTGCGTACGCGCTGTCCCCCCCTTTAATAGATAAATCACCTATAAGAGTTTAGATTAGACAATAGACATAAATTGTCTTACCAATATTAGGATTGGGGCCATAGTTGTCATCACGCTTTTCTAATAGACTCCTTTTCTGAAAATAACACAAAACTGATTCATTAATTAATGATAAATTGAACATGCATCTTATTTGATTTATTCTATGGTATTATCGTTTATCCAAAATTATCAAAATAAAGATAATTGGTAATTTTTTTAAACATTCATGTGTACAACATTATGTTCGTATACGGATAAGTTTTTTTTTTATAATTTCTTGTAATAGCCGTACCAGAAGAAAACTAGTGTAGTGTTTGAAACTTGTAGGAACATACCGAAGCCGCCGTGATTGAATTATTTCTTGCTCGCTTCGGTATAAGCCGCCTTGCCACTAGCCCTCTCTGAAAGAATATTAGTACCGTTAATGTAAATTGAGTAATGGTCTAAGCGATATTCAGAAACGTAACGTAGCAAATTCACCCTTATCAATGCACAGTTTCCTTCTGAGCCGATAATTTGAAGTACGAATTGATTAATTTATTTGAACATTAACAGATGTCTATGCAATCAAAATTATTCATTTGCTAAATTTGTGTACAATATTTGGGTGGAAGACATTGGAAGGTGGAAGTTTTACGAAGTGGCGTGTAAATCTTTAACATATTCAATAATAATTAAATAAAAAATACAGTAAATAATAATGACAATGAAAAATGGAAACAAAATATGTATAAGTAATTAAATTATGATCTAAATGTATTTAATTTACATGAGATTTATCATTTTTTTTGTAGAATAGGTAAGGTAACACTCCAAGATCAGGAATTTTGAAATCAGTGCTTAAAACTGTTTTAAATTTAATATTTGAATGTCATTAGGTATTTTATTAAATATTTTGGATGTTATACCTAGCATCTATGCTATTTATTATTTTGGGTTAGGAAATTATGGTATAGTAGCGTAAAATAGGGCTCACCCAAGACGCAGTGGCGAAGTGTGTCTGCGGAGAGTCCTGCAAATGAAATACATACATAAGAAACGCTAACAAGATGAAACTAAATTGATATTTACGAGCTTCTTTCTTTCTCTGTGTGGCTAAAATATTAGATATTATTATTAATAAATTAACATAACCCATTTTTCGCTGCTGCTTTGAAAACTGCTTTTAACCTTATTCTACGCATCTTTAATAAACTTTAAACTCCAAAACGATATCAGAATTTCATTTAATAGCTAGGTACTATTAGGTTCAATTTAATTGTGTCGGTTTCTGAAGGAGTTTCTATACAGTACTTACATTCACAGTATTCCGGCGTTGTTTGGATGATGTCGGTATATCATTCTGATTGATATTACTCTGTAATCAACGACATAACGAAAATTAACAACGTATTTGGTTGCAATACATAGAAATTTCAAAATATAAATAATATCATCATCAGTTTATTAATGTTCCCACTGCTGTTGCTCAGGTCTGCCCTGTGGATGGAAAAGAGGAATGGATGCTAACGACTACAGATGCAGCCGGAACCAACGGCCTAACGTGCATTCCAAAGCATCCTCCGTGCTCGAGATAGTGAATTTGTGGTCACCCATCTAATGACCGACTACTATGAAAGTTGTTTAACTTCAACGATCGCAGCCGAAAGCGCTAACCATTTGCGCCATCGAGCTTCTTAAATACTTAATGGCAATTGTTATCAACTTTGATTAATTACCTGTACGCCAAGTCATTATATTAATTGAATCAAAGTCATTGGGTACAAGATTATAATTGAAATGTAAGTCAAAAAATAGTCACATTATCAAATTTTAATGAAGACTTTCCGGACTTTTATTTACCACACGATAAGGTTTAAAGTTAATTTTCGAAAAAATCTAAAACAACTTACGTCCAAAGCTTGCATCATGTCCACAGAGGTTTTTATTTTCGCTGGCTAAAAGTGAATATTTAAATCAAATTACGTACCTATAGGTAGCCTTCTTGAGCAAAACTACAGATATAAATATACTTGTGCAGTAGACGATTTTATATGTAAAATTGCTACTGTGCAGGTTATATTGTCTACGGTAGATGAGGTGTTCATCATAGTTTTCATTCTCTTTAGGTACTTCAGCATAAGGCTTTTAAAAGGTTTCATTCATACGAGCGGCTCGCGACCGACGTCATCGCAACTTCAGCAGTCGACGGGTGCTGTCGGCGGGTTAACGGCTAACGGTTGCCACTTCGACATCCAAACACGATTTTTTGACAACACCGTAAAGTATCGTAATCGTTAAATTTTGTATGGAAAAGGCTAGTTTGTTATTACGTCCGATGGTACGCCTTAGTTTTCATGGAAACTTTGACGATGCAATACGATGCGGAGTTGTCAAACACTCGTGCTTGGGTCTGATTGCGAAGCCGTCGGCTGCGTACCGTTCGTATATATGAAACCCTAATCTGTCACCTGCAACCGTTCACAATCTTTAATTAACAAGTAAACTATTAAAACTTTCATGCTCTTCAACTTTAACTTTTTACTCGACAATTCCGTAGAACTTTAACTTTTATAACTTTGCTTTAAGTTTTATATGTATTAATAGTGACAATAAATCGGTTTGCCTGCTCAGTTTGCCTTCACTTTTTTTTGAATAGAACATTTAGGATAAGGTGAGATAAAAATTTAGTTATTCAAGCTGTGACTGTGATGGAGTTTTTTTTATTAATTTACTTATTGTCTTATTTTAATAAAAAAATAATGGGTGCGTGTACTTATGTAGGCGCGTGAGAAGTTATCCTTCTTTGGCATCGTTTAAAATTAGTTTTTAATTGCATGCAAATAATTAATTACAATAAATTAATAAAAAGTCTGGAAAAGGACACAGTCAATAAAGTTCAGTTTTAATTTGAAAAAATAAATAAATAATCAAAATATTCAATTAAAATCGCTACTGAATATAATTTATTAGAACATATATGTGATTTGCACTTGTATGAAACTCAAACACGTATTCCGAATATACAAACTAGAAACATGTGGATAAATATTATAAATATGAATACCTATAACTGTTACTTTATAACAAAAAATAAAGATGTGGTTTTTGGTTCTACTACACCAATGGTCAAGAGATGGCGCTGTAGTCTCCTGAATCGCGCTTTGGTTCCGTTGTTCCAGATTAATAAATACTTTTGATAGGCCTTCACAATTCAGTCGTTAGCACCCACTAAATAGAGATTCTATTTCTATTTTGTTGGTAGATTTTCTTAATGTGCGGTAAACACAAAAGTAACGCATGAAGCTGGTCGCTAAAGCGACCAACTTCATGCTGTTAAAATTTTGTGTTACAGTGATGCGCGCGCATCTTAAAATTTCACTCTCATCATTTTTTCATAACGCGCCTAAAGAAGTATAACTTCAAAAAAAAATCTTATTAGAGCTGATATGGTGATATCCACTGAATATACAAAAAAATAACTAATCAAAAAGAATTTTTAACCGAATTAAAAAATATATCACAAATAAGACAGTTACAAATTCGTATCTAAAAATAACACAAATAAGACAATAACAACAGTCACAGAAGAATAAGTTATAAAAATAAAGCCAAGGAACATTTACTAATAGTTTTAAAATGATTTTCAGGTTTTACACATAAATAATACAAAATCTATGTTAATAATTGTATTATTTCCATACTTACCACTTCATTCATAATAACTGTATGAATAGTGCTCTGAAAATATGAAACAGTGGTAAATAACAAAATTTACTTTATATAAAATTATGTTTACTATTTAAAAACTAATAATATTATATTTTTTTAAGCATGTATCCGCTCGATGTTTAAAGGACATTGTTCTGCGTCCATACATAGTTAGCCTAAGAACCTAAGTTAGTGAAGTGCCGGCATTAGGAAGAAAGAGTGTTTTGTTTGCAGCGCTGTCATAGATTATACACATAAAATGGTATTTATTGTCTCAGATTATTTTTTAACTTTTTAATTTAGCTTACTTAGCTGGAAGTGTCCGTCACAATCTAAATACTGATAATTATCGCAAAAAATATAATAAGAATTATCATAAATGCCAAATTGGTGTTGGTTCTTAGGCCCATTTTAACATTGTCCTTTAAAGAAAATATTACTAGAAAAAAAAATGGTGTGCGTGGAACTTTTTTTCTTTAGATTTATATTAATAATATACCTGAGTTTGTTGACTAGGCTGCTTTAATTCCTGTAAAAATTATATTAACGTTAATATTCGTTTATAAGTATTTTGATTCATAATTTGAAAAATGCTACTTCTCGTGGGAATCTCAAAATGCGAGAGATTGGTGATTGATTTTGAGAGAGAAATGGGAGATTTCTGGAATCTTCAGCCTTATTATAATTTCTTTGGGATGTTTAGAATTCTAAAATGTGGCAGATGTCTTACAAAAATATTCCCCGCCAACCCTTTCTCTTTGCTGTCTTAACCGAATATAGCCAAACCTACTTTACTGTAATATTTTGTAAGGTGAACTTCGATTCCCCAAGTGGAACTTTGATACTCTCAATATATAAGAATACATAATGTATGGTTTACATCCATACAATTACAATCCATACCAATATTATAAATGCGATAGTATGTTGGTCTGTCTGGTATGGCTTCTAAAAATCTTCACGCTTAAACAGCTGAACCGATTGTGATTAAATTTGGTATATAGATAGTTTGAGTCCCGGGCAAAGATATGGAATAGTTTTTGTCCCATAATTCATCCTTCGCGGGGGTGAAAAGGGGGGCCGAAGCTTATATGGGAAACCATTTTTCCATGCAGACTAAGTGCAATAACGCACGAGCCGCCAACCGCGGCGGATGGCGGTCGCGCGGAAATGAATTCAAAGGTGCTCGCCAAGACCTCCGTGCTTGTAATCCAGCCTTGTGTAAGCAATTCCGAATGGTCTGAGTGCTAACTTCAAGTCCGGAGGCGGCCCGTAATTCTGCTTTTAATTTATTGGCATTTATTGTTGGGTCGCGGGCTACCAGCAACCTGATGTAGCGCTTCTGAGCAGCTGTCAAAACAGTTGGGCGATCGCTGCGGGGTCGATCAGCTAAATTACCCATGCCGTGGTACCTCTGCAACGTGGTTACTACACAGGATTGAGATATGGCAACTCTGCGTGCTATTTCTCTCGGAGAATAGCCTTCTTCCCTCAAAGTTAAAATTCTGGCTCGTAAAACATCTGACAATCATCATGGTATTTTTTAAATCACAACTTTTCGTGAAAAAATATTTTAAATTCGATAAAATTGACTAAGTCAGATTTCTGAATGAGTGTCAGCTTGGATTGCATGTCTTTTTATATGGAAAAACAATTGAATTATTATATTGTTAACGTTCTCATTCTAATTTTAAAATTAACTTAAACCAAACTACGCAACATTTTTTTTACTTCGAATGGAAGGTTTATAATACATAAAGAAAGTCATTGTGAATAATACAAGCCTGAGAACATAAACTATAGTCTATACTACAGCTCTACACCGAAGCAAAGACAGGTCACTATTATTTGATACATGAACATTTTACCGTCTCTTTGCTTTCCAAGCTCAATCGACTTTGTTCTCTTGGATCCTGAAATCGAAGTTAAAATATATCTACACAACGAGCGTTATTACAGTAATCGTAGCGCAAAAGTTTAATTCTGATTTTATAAGATATTATAAGCAGGATAGTTGTGTCAGTTTAGTTTCTCTTTTCTCGTCTCTGATGTCTATAAAATAAAGTAATTTAACTACTTAGGGTTCAGAGTAAAAGGAAATATATTGTGATGTCGATCATATTATTATTATCAATTATGGTACAATTATATATTAATAGTGTAAGTTTATTTTTCTGGAAATAAAAAACTTAAGATATAATTTATTATCCAATAGTAAAATCGCAATCCGGCATTTTTACTATATCTAATGTGCCTAAAAAAACAAGATCTACCATAATTAATAATAATAATTATATATTTGTTTCTTAGGTTTTCACGCACATCACTCATTAAATAAAACTAGTTTTAACGGGTTAATGCACGACACTTTATTTATTTATTGACGTTTTGCAGACCTTTCAGGTCTGCATCCTCAGAATACTGAAAGGGCTGCGAAACGTCAATAAATAAATAAAGTTTCGTGCATTAACCCGTTAAAACTAGTTTTATTTAATAATAATTATAGTCTGATATTTAGGTTAACATTGGAAACAAATCTATTTTGAACCTTATTCTGTAGATGTGAAAGGTCTTTCTTGATACTTCCACGAGTAGTTTGAGAAGCAATGCTACGGTTGTCAGGCCAACAGAATTTCTGTAAAACAGAATTCAAGGTTTAATTTATATAGCAACAGTCTCAATAGGGTAATACGCCCCTGCCGAAGTCGCGGACACATTTTAATCTATATATATAAAAATGAATCTTAGAAAAGTATGTACGCGCGCTAATGCCGAACGACTGAACCAAATTGTTTTTTTGAAGTTATACTTCTTTAGGTGCGTTATGAAAAAATCATGTGAGTGAAATTTCGAGATGCGCGCGCATCACTGTAATACAATAGTAACACCATGAAGTTGGCCGCGGGCGCGTTATGAATGTTAGTCCACTAAGTGGTTAATAATCCACCATTATTAGACATCTGTTCGAAAGGTACTTTGAACGATCCACGGAGATCCATAAGATGATCGCGTTGTCAAAAACAATGTTGGCACGCTCGTCGCCTCTGATCACTGTTTTCATATTTATAATATTTATCCACATGTTTCTAGTTTCTATATAGACACAACGTGTTTTAGTTACTTACAAGTGCTAATTACATATGGACTAATAACTTAAATTCAGTAGTGATTTTAATTGAATATTTTGAATATTTATTTAATTTTTCAAATTAAAACTGAACTTTATTGTAATTATTAATTATTTGCATGCAATTAAAAAATATTTTTAATGATGCTAAAGAAGTATAACTTCTCACGCACGTACATAAGTTACACGCATCCATTTTTTTTATTGTGTTCGTTATTGTCAGGACAAGGTTTGTAAAAAAAAAACAATTAAAAAAGACATACTTAAATAGACTGTTAAACACTATACCCTGTCTGCGCGTAGATTGCGCAGAAGAAGAATCGGAACAGCAGAGCAATGGTGCATTCGGTATAACGGGTTCTAAACTAAGCAACAAAATTTTTACTTGGAATGGAAGGCGTATATCAAGAAATTCATGTATATAATACAAGTCTGAGAACAAAAACTATAGTCTACACTACAGGTCTACACTGAAGCGAAGCGAGGGTGGGCCACTATTATTTAATAAATGAACATCTTACCGTGTCTTTGCTATCCAAGCTCAATCGACTCTGTTCTCTAAGATGCTGTAATCAAAGTTAAAAATCTACAATACGAGTGTTAATTCCGTTACTGTATAGCAAAAGTTTAATTGTGATGTAAAAGAAAAGGAATGTAGAATTATATTATAAGCTAGTTGGGTCAGTTTAGTTTCTCCTTTCTCGTCTCTGATTTCTATAAAATATAATATAATGATATGAGTTTATTTTTCTGGAAATAAATAACTGAAAATATAATTTATTAGCCAATAGTAAAATCCTCAAATTAAATATAATAAGAATAGGCTAGTTGCCTAAATTTTAAAAAGTGGTTAATCATATACGTTGATGTTTATTTTACCCCAAAAAATATTATTTTAAATAAAATACTACATTAACAATATGTATTTTGACTTTTAACAAAAATATTTAATTTTCCCTCTAAAACGCTCATGACTGTCATGGCGTCTTGAATGACGTCACGCCGTGCAAAAAACAGTATGCTGTACGTTGACTAATAGAATTATTTCATTAAAAATGAATCCATCGTATTCCAAGTACTGTATAGTGCCCCAGTGTAAAAGTACAAGCATAAAACGCCAGACAAATTATTTATATACCTTTTAAACAACTTACAAAAGCAGTAAAAATGGCTAGAACTTGCAAGGAGGGATGGTATTCATTGTTTATCAACAAATAAAATAATGTATTTTTGTGAAGATCTTTTTGATGTAAGTATTTAGCATAGCATAATCTAGGTAATCTAAATGTTACACAAGCTGGATAAATTATATTGCATTAAATTGATAAAACAATGACAATAGGTTGAGGTTAGGTAAATAAATTTAGTTTTATGGCATGATTTAAAGTCAATTTGAGAGTTAAGTATATTTATTCGTATTACTCGTAATAAACACATTTCATATTCTTGTTCAGTTGCCTAATAATATGCTAATTATACCAAGTATCATATTAAGGTTTGTTTTTTATTTTGGGTAAACTATTATTATTTGCTTTGGTAATTCCCGATGCCTATACATATTAGGCTATCTTACAATAATTATCTATGAACAAACTGATAAAGTGTATCAAAGTAACAATCACATGAATGACAAATCAATAAAATCTATGAAAACTCTAACCACAAGTAATGTTTAGCACGGAGTGACGTCAGTCTTTCTGATTGGTGTTTACTATCACGTGACCTTATGCCTATTATTACCGAATTTATTTCATAAAAATAATAATAATCTTTAATTATTATGATAAATAGCTTTATTTTTCGTTATCTGTATATCGTAATTCATATTTAGAAACTGTTAGCCATCCGATTTATTGTTAGTGGACACAAGCCTATTATTCAATTACCAATCGCAATCTCAATCTTTACCTCAAGTATATATTTAAAATTATAATATGCCTAAAAAAACAAGATCTATCATAAATAATAATAATTATAGTCTGATATTTAAGTTACATTGGAAACAAATCTATTAACCTTATTCTGTAGATATGAAAGGTCTTTCTTGATACTTCCACGAGTGGTTTGAGAAGCATTGCTACGGTTGTCAGGCCAACAGAATTTCTGTAAAACAGAATTAAAGGTTTGATTTTATATAGCAAGTATGTAGTAGTTTATGTATATAGTAAGCAACAGACCCGTTGATAAAAAGTAGAAATTTACTAGATTTTTTTTCTTCCACATCTACCCTAGGTTATGTTGTTCAATCTTAATATTATACATGCGAAAGTGTGTCTGTCTGTCCGTTGCCTCTTCATGTAAAGTACCCCACCTAATGAATTTTGCAGCTGGCAGTAAATATGACAGTTACAGTGCTGAACGATCGATCTACAGAAGATTTCTCCAAACCATTGCTAACCATAGTAAAAGCTATTCCTGTCGAAAGGAAAGCTTTCATTTCCTCCAAATTAATGTAAGCGGTACGAAGGTCGCCGGGTCAGCTAGTTATAATATAAATACAAAAGTGAGTAACAGAAACCTTACATGGACAAAAACACAACAGTAGTGTGATTTTACTGCCGTCTTTTGGAAAGTGGGGTGTCTATTGGAGGAGAAATAATATCTAATATTGCACTGCAAGTTGACTAATGCTGAGATGTTTTTTATTAAAGGGTGTCAATCAATCAAATGTCAATCAACCAACCTTATGGTAAGCGGCCACTATAGCGACCTGTAGATGCTAGCGATACCGAAGCTATCACTCTCCTTTGTCTACCTTGACCCAATCCCCTACCCCGTAGAGTCCTGGAAACTTACTCACCGACACAGACACCAACAAGTAGTGTTATTTTACTGTGATCTTCTGTAAGGTGGAGAATACCTCCCCAGGTGGGAATCTAATTGGAGCGGAGAATCGGCTATGCCCTGCCACTCTCAAGACTGCTTACCTCCAAACTGTAAGGAGATGCATTACTAGCAATGCCTTGGGCCAGCCAGCAGTCCCTAGAGTTGTTTACGTCGAGCAGGCGGCTAGCGCTATTGTTGCCCAGGATTTCGTTGGCTTTTGTCGTGGAAGGCGACGGAGTACTGGTCTGAGGAGATGGTAAACACTAAGGTCGTTCTTTTAATTGTATAATAGGGATAATGACTCAACTTTTTTCTTTGTCTTTTAGGTAGATTATGAAAAAGTATTGGACACGTATTTTTTTTATTTTTTCACATAAAAACATTACAGAGATACATTGATTTCAAATGTCGCGTGACATCACGTTTCCGAAAATATTTACTATAAATCGGCCAAGTGCGTGTCGTGCCACGCGCAGTGTAGGGTTCCGTAGTTGCCTGTAGTTACCACAATATATCTGAGCAGCAGTCTTTATTTTCTATATCGGAAATTAAAAAACCTAATTAATATCAATCTTTGTATCGTAACTAAAATACCTGAGTCAAAGTCAAACTGAGTCTCAAACTCAAAATCAATTCGATATTTTATTTTTTAAATACGAACGATAACCGCCGTTTTGTTTTTTGTTTCCTTCCAGGCAAGGAGGCGGCTGGGAAATGCTCATGGATATCCTACAGCCGGATGCAAGGTTATGTCAGACTCTTACTGACTAAAATAGATATTATCAGTTTTTTCAAGCATATCTACAGTATTTCTCTATAAAAGGGTTGGCAACACAACACCAGGCCTAGCAACTTATTTCAATTTCATCATAACTTATTACCAGAAACTCTGGATTAATAAGACTAAAAAGTAGACTGCCTAGACTGAAAGATGCCACTACTCCAATAATACCTAAATCGCTAATTGACTAAGAAGCCTTGCCTACGATGTATCGTGCCTATAATGATGCTCTAAACCGTCAATTTAAATCTTTGAATAATAATAATTAATGAAAAATCTGTATGCTTAAAAGTAAAAACAAATCTTCTATTCCTTAAAAATAAAAAATACACCTAAACACTCCTTAAAAATACAAACATTTTTTTAAAACTACAAATGAATAAAAAAGCATAAAGGCAAAATAGACTATCTTATAATTTTCAAATGCTAGTATCGAATTACAACAATCCTTTACAACTAGTTTTCAAACAAACTTGCACATTAGGCATTAAAGAAACATAGTGCATTTTAGGCATTTCGATTTGAAGACGAAATAATATTAGGCGATTACAATGTCTTGGCATTCACGTATACGCAATCTGCTTCTCAGTCTATTGACGTGTTAGGCATTTTTACAACAGTGGTACTGTGCTCATATCCGGTAAATCACAGCGCGCGGTACCATGCTAGAATTCTTCAAATAAAACAGGAAACGAGTGTTTTTTTATTAAGAGGGGGACAGCGCGTACGCAGTCCCCACTACCAAAAATTACGCATCCGAGTTATCCACATTAGGGATAATCGCAGGGGTCAACCCCACCGCAGTGCAATGGAGGAGCCTCGCCCTGGGGGAACCGCCTTCCTGATCACGGTGTCCCCTATGCCAGGTAAGTATGCTTTGACTAACGCGGCTGAGGAGTTTAAGCCCTGCGATACCAGATTCAATAGCGAGTTTCAACAGACTACACTGCCACCTAACGGAATACGGCTGAATCTTGACATGCTGAGTTTGGTACTGAAATGAGGAGCTAATAGTGCTGCTAGCGCCAATGCCTCTAAATCACTAAACTAGTTTGTTATATTTCTACTTTCTATAAATAATTCACTATTTATACTTTGTTAACGCCTTATGAAAGCATGAATATTTTGAAACAAAATACCTTTAATTTAAATTTCCCCATAAAACATTCTTTATTTTTCAAATACTTAGTAGATTTAAGAGGTCAGAAGTTTTTATTTTCCATATCGAAAAAAAAAACAACCTATGTATCTCGACTAAAATACCTAAATCAATGTCCAACTGCATCTTAAACTCAAAACAATTCGATATTAATATTTTTTTAATACGAATGCATACCGCCGATTTTTTTTTGTTTATCCCAGGCCCCAGGTGTGAAATCCTCATGGATACCCTACAGCGGGCTGCAGGGTTATGTCAGACTTTTACTGACTAAAAGCTTCACTTCACTGCTTTTTAAAACTGTATTTTTTGTCAGTGTAAGGTTTTAAGCTACAATAACTTCATCAATGTCACTATTCATGTTATCTTCTAAGGAATTTTCAATAGGTAAGAAATTTTCTTTAACCATTGTTGAACGACTATATAACTCTTTTAAAAAAATCTAAATTTTATTCTACCATTTTGTTGGCGTGATCAATATACATTTCTCCATAAATTACAGCTCTATCGTGCTAATAGTATCCAAGCAAAACCGGGGACGGACAGACGGACATGATGAAACTATAAGGGTTCCTTAACAGGACTACGAAACCCTAAAAAGTTAAACATCAACAAATTTCTGTTAAGCAAGTAGACTGTCTTAAATCAGCATTTTAATTTTATTTACGGTGCACAGAAAAGTATTTATCTTTTTCTACTTTCCTTTAAGGATAAATTACTTCTGGCTCACATTGGACGATTAATTTAATAGTTTGGGAGGCGGGATTGATTCTTTTATCGGACTATGGCTGAGTGATTTGATGATGGCTAAATTTAGTCTCTATTCTGAGACTAGACACAGATTAAGGTCGTGTGTCCACCGCGGCCATCATCGGACCATCACTGAGAACGAGATTATTTCTGTATGAGATCAAGATGACTGACGTTACGGGCTTGCGGTGGACAAGCGGCTTAGTAAATGTATGTGTAGCTGCTTCGGCGCTCGTCATCTCGTTCTCGTTGATATCCCGATGACGGCCGCGGTGGACAAACGGCTTTACATTCAGACATAGTTAATAATATATTAGTGTCTCAGAGGCGTTCCAAGCCATGAAGCAATCATTTTCCTAGCGCCATCTAGTTCTGCGCATGGCAAACCCTTAAGACTGCGCCCACGGAGGAAAAACTGCGCCCGTGTGGATAGCACTCTTTGTTATCAGAACTTTTGACATTTGAAGTTTCAAGTGCGTTGACTAGATGGCACTACCTACACCAATTGAGATATATTTGGCACGATTGAGTGTGTATAGCGCCATTTCATTTAGGTGATTATTATCAATATTTGACTGGAGCCATCCTTCTGGCTCCTTTCTATTTTTAACCGACTTCAAAAAAGGAGGTTTTGTGTTCGACTGTGTAATTTGTGGTATTATAGTGATTAATAGTAAATTAAATTATTTTCAATATTTTTACGTACAGTCAGGTGCATTATTTTTGGGACCCATTTCCATGAAATATGGTTTAAACATTCGCATTGCAATAAGGTCGAAATCTTTAGATCAATGTTTATAAAACATAAATTAGAAATAGATATGTATTCGAATATAATGGCTCTTGTTTATATTAACCTTCATACATGACGTCTTTTTTTTCATTTGCTTAGCTCGGTCTAGTTTTAAAATATTTTGCTATGGCGTTACTTGGTAATTCTACTTAGATGGATATAGGTAGATAGGTTGACAAGGTACATACTTTTTCTATAGCGTTATTGAGTGAGGGCAGAAGCGCTGGATGGAGTCGAAGTTCGCACCACAAGTCCAGCACGCCCACTTCATCACTGGAATCTAGCGAGTCTCGACCTGCACGTGCCTGTTTTAACTTAGGACCCGCCATCTGTGCGAAATTAACTGTTTGTTAGGGCTATTAGTTAGTCCAAAGATATAATTAATTTACATTTGGGATAATCCATTAATCACCTTTGGTCCGCGCCAAAGGTGGGTGAGCAGGAGCCTCCCGTTCCCAGGGGTCCTGGGAACGGGACCTGGTCGAATAATAGGATGCTCGGAAGAGAGTGCATGGGAGGGGATCTCGTGCTAAAGAGGATCGCGACGCTTTTTCCCGGATTAACCTCGATACGCCATCTATGGAACCAATCGCCAAGAGTGGTAGTGGTTGATGGGAATCTATTACAGACTGTTTTGAGACATCTATCGGTGGTGGATAAAAAGGGTGCGCTTCCAGAGAGCTGCGCAGAGTTGAGCAGAGTCAAGCCGTGTAAAAAGGCTAATGTTTCCATTGAAGCTGTGCAAAGACGAGCCATGTAAAGACGAACCACGGTCGACGGTCAATTGCTTAACGGAATGGCTATGGCTATCGCTATCGCTTACGATTTCATTTTGTTATTTCTGACCGCCGAAGATTTTCAAATGCCTCGCGTTCGTTTTTTTCCTTTTGCATTGGTAATAACAATATTAATGAAAATGAGCGTGAGGTATTTGTAAACCTTCAGTGGTCAGAAATAACAGAATGAAATCGTAAGCGATAGCGATAACCATAGTCATTCCGTTAGTCAATTGACCCCCTGGTTTCGCTTAGGTGTAAACTATAGTGTTTTTTCTCAATCTTGTATTATACACAATGACATTCTTCTAATACCTAACTATAATAGGCACGCGCCGGCTGCCCGGTCCCCTGCCCGTTACCGTCGGAACCGTTTATATATCCCTGTTTTTTAAATCTGTAATATCTTCGAAAATATTCATTTAAATTACACGATGTAAAGGGCCAAATTGATCTATATTAAATGCACAATGTATTTAAGGTACTTAATTGGATAAGGAGGAGTGCCATATTGCTGAAAATCGCTTCGTAAATAAGCTATTACTTCTCGTAATAAAAATCTCGTAATAAAAATGGTTATTGTGGGCTATCCCTAAGAGATAGACATATAGCATCGCGATTTTTGTGGAGACCTTTTAAAGGTGTACAATACTGTAGCACATTATTTTGATCTATCTCGTAGGGTACAGCCAGCATTTGCAATGTAAGCGCAAAAATATGTGTTCCTCCTAACCCTTAACCTTCCTCTTGAATCACTCTATATATTAAAAAAACTGCATGAAAATCCGTTGCGTAGTTTTAAAGATCTAAGAATACGGGACAGACAGACAGCGCGAAGCGACTTTGCTTTATACTATGTAGTGATGATGCTAGAAGTAATTTACCAAGGCAAGTGACATGTCGGCGCGCCGATTGGTATGTAGCAAGGCGTCACGCAGGGGCAGCGAGCAACTTGCGAACGGATCTGACTGCTTGTCCAGTTCGCAAATGTAAATCCGCAACTCTTCCTTTAAAAAATATTTTTTTTTTGGTATATAGCTCACAGGACAGAATCGTAAAATAGATATTATATAGAAGTGCCGTTTTTGTCTCTGACAAAAAAGAACTAAAGTTTAGTAGGTATACTGCCTTTTCGCACTTCGACGGTTTTCCGGCTAAGCCTACCTCTTACTGAACTTGGATAATCAAAACTGGTCGTTAGTTAGACGTCCATCATTCAGCTAAAGAGGTGAATTTTATTTATTAAGGGGGGGACAGCGCGTACGCAGTCCCCACTACCAAAAATTACGCATCCGAGTTATCCACATTAGGGATAATCGCAGGGGTCAACCCCACCGCAGTGCAATGGAGGAGCCTCGCCCTGGGGGAACCGCCTTCCTGATCACGGTGTCCCCTATGCCAGGTAAGTATGCTTTGACAAACGCGGCTGAGGAGTTTAAGCCCTGCGATACCAGATTCAATAGCGAGTTTCAACAGACTACACTGCCACCTAACGGATTACGGCTGAATCTCGATGTGATGTGCTTGGTACTGTAGCAGACCATTGAAATGAGCAGCAATGAGCGGTACTAATGTACCGCTAGCGACAATGCTTCTAGTTCATTTATTACAACATAAATCGTTTGTTCTTTTGCTATTTTGTATCATATTATTTGTGAATTTGACAGCAGGTTTTCCTTTTCATTCTTTATGGGTTTCATTCCTAAAGACAAGGCACGGGACACACAGAAAAGACATAAGACGCAGACGGGGCGCAGACATTTTCAGTTTCATACAAAACGAAAAAGCGTCGTATCCGCGACCTGTCCGTAGTATAAGTTTTGCGATGCGACGTTTCTATACATTTTTTTATGATACTGTCTGTAAAAATGTCAGCTATATGCGTAATGATTCGTAATGGCCGCGCCCAGTCTGCGTTTTAAGTTTTTTCTGTGTGTCTCGCGCTCAAGATGAGGACAGACTACTACAATAAAATATCAATTAAGTAGTTCTATAAACCAATCTTCTTTGCAATCGACATCAATTGCAATAATAGAGATTGTTAATAGTAATTATCCTCAAATTGTTAAAAATCTTGGTGGTTCATCTGTCTGTTCTAGGTCAACTTGCAAAACATATAATACCTCTCCTGTGAGGTCAATCAGCACTACTACCTCTCCTTTCAAACCAGTGCTATCTGATAACACAATAAGAAGTAAAACGATTAAGTTTTAGATAAGCTAGGATGAGGCTTTGGATTAATGTTAAGAAATTATTTAGTCCAGGCAAAGAATGCTCAAAAACAGGTATAGAGGGAAATGCTTGGAACACAATTTTTGACTTCGTAACTTTGTTAGGACTAGTTAGGAGGTCAACATATCAAAAGTCCCCGCCCGTAGCCCTTAAGCCGGGGGGAAAGGGGGGGATTGAAGGTCCCATTTTTAGGTTTTTCGCATATATCTCGGAAACTATGCATCCTAGCGACATGAGATTGTGACAAAAGTGAAAGCTGATTAAATTTGCTACAAGTCTTAATCAGTCAAGTTTTTTTGATATCTTGTATAGTTTTCGAGATATCCGCTCTTGAAAATCTGTAATTATGGAAAAAAAAATTGCCACCACTTCCTGGGAATGCTGTTTTACTGCTCCCTCGGTGGGAGGAAGACAAGAGATATCAGGCTTGATGGTGGCCACTGATTTCAAGAATGACTTGTACCTGTAGGCATTGAGGGAAATCTTTTTCGCTGGAGCTCCATACCACCTTAAGATGCAGGTTTCACCTGCCTTTTGTACATGAGCGGTGGTGGAGAAAGGGTGTGAAAAGACCGCTGCTGCTTTCTGGATTTCTGGTGACTTGATAATGTCTCTGGTCTCTGGGAAGGGAGGAAATTTCTCAAATCAATCGGTGAGCTTGGCAATGTCAGCTCCATCCTTGTTTTGGCGGGCTTGTCCGAAATCTGCATGCTGCTCACTGGTGGAACCAACAACCCTACGGCCGGCATTGTTAAAGAGTTATCCGGTCAAATAGAGCAAAAATGCGAAGCAATTTTTTTTCCATACTTACAGACTTTTAAGAGCGGATTTCTCAAAACTATACAAGATATCAAAAAACTTTACTGAATAAGACTTGTAGCAAATTTAATCAGCTTTCACTTTTGTCAAAGTTTCATGTCGCCAGGATGCATAGTTTCCGAGATATATGCGAAAAACCTAAAAATGGGACCTTCAATCCCCTTTCCCCCAGGCTTAAAGGCTACGGGCGGGGACTTTTGATATGTTTACCTCCTAACTAGTCCTAACAAAGTTACGAATTCAAAAATTGTGTTCTAAGCATTTCCCTCTATACCTTTTCGTTGCCTGGACTAATTGTAAAGAAAGGATTACTAATATATGTATGCCAGGGAAATTAATAAATGACTTGTAAATTAACTGAATCAGTATGATGCGGACAGTTTAACTAACGTAATTATTATGTTTGGTGACAGCTCTAAAAGAAGATCAAGAGATATGTATTGAAATATAGAGGTGCTATTTAATTATCAGCCTAGATGCAACTGTAAAATAATAATGAGCGCTTTTCCATATGCAGAAACAAGGGAACAAAAGAAGCGCATTTTTTGTTTGAATTTTATAATTTATACCTAAATATATCAGCAAATTTAAGTTGACCACAGATACTATGTATCTTGGAAAAAAATATAAGACGCAGATAGCTACTTTGTTAGCTTTTAATATACAAAAGTCCGTTATAAATAGTATAACAAAGTCTATAAACTAAACTGTGTTAATGTCAGCACTAATACAAATATTAATTTACAGAATTACTTTACTTTCTATAATTATGATGAAGATGAAATGATTTTGTATTGACACCGTAACAATATATTTTTTTGTAAATATTGTTACATAATTATTTAACGCTGCGAAGAATTTTGCTAGTTTTTCTCCACAGTTAAAAAAAATGTCCTCAACTGGTGGTAGGGGAAAAGTATGGACGATTCAAAAGAGTTGTCTTGTGCATCTAATTTGAATAAAAATATTTTGCCCTTTGAGAATAGGGTGACCAAACAATTTTTAACTGAGGTGTACGACATCAGCCAAATCCAACAAAATTAATATTTTTTAAATTTTTTAAGCATTTAACTGCTAGCTGCTGCTTTCTTTAGATTTAAACTTAATATCACTTATCAGAATATTCAAGCATTGGCTGGCAAGGATTTAGAATTAGAACTGTTTGCAAAGAGCCAGGATATTCATGATATCTGTTTATCTGAACACCGGCTTAAGTCTTCTGAGGTGTCTTTAAGCATAAACAATTTTCAAATGATAAGTGCATATGTTCGTACTACAGCTTTACATGGCGGCACACTAATTTTTGTAAATAAAAATATTAACACTAAGTATAGGAAAAACATAGTAGGCCTCTTAGTAGAACGTATTATTGAGCTATCCCGTGTTGCATTTAATGAATTTATTAAAGTTTGTATATACCGATCCCCTTTAGGTAACATTTTTTTTGTTTTATGGGTAAAAACATTAACGTCTTTTTTCTTTCTCAATTTTAATTACCTGAACTCCTTTATATGTTTTATATAATAGTGGAAACTTTATTGATGTATGTTTGTTAATTAGATCTAGGTATAAGTATTAATTCATTGTTTGTTTCCCAAATAAAGATAAAATAAAAATAAATAAAAAATTAGTGTTTTTGAATCAGTGATGGAGAATGTACTAAAAAAGTTAAAGCCAAAAAATTTATTTTGTGACTATTTTTTGCCAGTCTTCAGTTAAGCATATAACATGAATATCCTGGCTCTTTGCAAACAGTTCTAATTCTAAATCCTTTATATAATATTAACATTCTTGAAAATAATACCATTTCAATTTGCCTGATATCACTATTCTTAAGTTTTAATTTGGTACATAAAATTTTTGATCCTACTAGACTAATATCTCATTGAGCCACTTGTTTGGATAATATATTTACAGATTATAAATCCAGTTAGTAAATCAGTGATTAATTGTATCACATCAGAATATTACGGCTTAAAAATAACAAATAATACAAATGACACTAAGAAGCCCAAATTCATTGAATTAAGGCCAGTAACACATAAACATATAGATTTTTTTAAAAACAATATTGACGGTAAAATGTTTTAAATGCCATGGACACATGAAGATCCTAACATTATTTACGGCAATTTGTTCCGTTTAATTAGGAAATAATTTGATAAGGCTTTTCCGCTTAAAAATTTGAAATTAACTTAAAAGTTGAACTTCTGTGACTGGGCTACATCTGGTATTTATAAGAGTAGAAATAAACTTTATGAAGTGTACCTCTTAAGGATATATAATCACCCTCAGGCTTGCATTGATTATGTTAGAAGGTACTCAAAATATTCGAAAGGGTTTGTATAAAAGCCAAATTACATACAAAATAAAATCATTAAATATATTAATAAAATAAAAACGACATGGAATGTTATTAATAGAGAAAAGAATTGCATCAATACCATAATAGTTCCGCGATTGCAAGAAAATCCGGAATGATAAAGAACCGTTTCAGGTTTCACCCAGAAGAGAACAACGATTTGCGCATAGGTATCGATTTCTTCCGGGTTTTGCACAAAATTATGAAGGTATCTAATGTTGTATAGATTATGGTACCGAACCCTTCGTGCACGAGTCCGATTCCCACTTGGCCGGTTTTCCGTTTCAATAATGAACCTCCAGTAAAAGGTATTTCTGGTTCCGTTTCTTAACAACAATAAAATTGTTATTATAGTAAAATATTTTAGAAACAAATAGCTCTAGTAGGCTAGGCTTACCTCTTACTGGACTTGGATTATCGAAACGGGTCGTTAGTTAGACTAAACATCCATCATTCAACTTTAGAGGTGAATTTTAAATATTAAGGGGGGGACAGCGCGTACGCAGTCCCCACTACCAAAAATTACGCATCCGAGTTATCCACATTAGGGATAATCGCAGGGGTCAACCCCACCGCAGTGCAATGGAGGAGCCT